ACAGCTAGCTACCATCCATTGGCTCTGAGGCACTTCTTGATGAGTGCACAGTACCGGTCTCCTCTGAGTTTCTCGGCGTCGCAGCTAGAGAGTTCGTCAGACGCTTTGTATTATGTTTATCAGGTGCAGTGCTTCAGATCTGTTTTCAAAATTATACAACAACTTAACTAGCATGTTCATTTACAGTGTTTTGTCTTAGTAATATATGAACTAAAAGTAAGACACCATCAAAATTTATTTCCAGTTCTGACTTTAACCTCTGATCTATGTTTATCAGACTTTACAAGATCTTGATGAAGATCTGTCACCATATCGAGAAGCATTGTCTGAAGATGGTGGAAAAGCTGAACAGACTCCAGAAGGGAAAGACATCATTAAGAAGCTAAAAAGTGAGTTTGAATCAAAGATGTTAGACGATTTGAATACCGCCCATATACTTACTGGTGCTTACCAAGATGCATTGAAATTCATAAACGCTAACCGCAGCAAGCTCAAGGTTCTTGCCTCTTGTCTTCTTCTTTATTTGTGTGTCCTTTCCTTCACAATTATGAATACCAAAGTGGTCTGGTTTTTCCAAATTTTCAGAAAATGCAGAAGAAGCAGCGAATGTCGATGCTTGTGTCACTCGTTGAGATTGAGAAAGCAGCAAGGGAAGTTCTTGATGTACTTGGTTTGCTCACTACACTGAGCTACGCCGAGGTTTTGAAAGAAATGAAACTAAAAACACTAATAAGAGCAGAAATGGGAGAAGAAGATATTCTACGGGAGATAGAAGATAGGATAACAGCGCGGAACAACAAAGATTTTGCGAAAAGTGATGAGATCAGAGAGAAACTGACAAGAAAAGGAATAGCGTTAATGGATTTTGGCAAAGAAACTGTATGGAGGCCATGTTTCCCTTCTCAGGCTGATTCCAGCAATTGAGCAATGAACAGAGAGATGGAGATAGTCAACGATTTCTTCATTTCTCTAACTCTTCTTCTTTAGCCTTTTGTTTGAGGCTCTTTCTCTATAACTCTGTTTTTGGAATTGTGCAATGACTTCTAAATATACACTTGTTGCTGTTTGTTGTATTCTTAACATTCACAATGACATTGTAACAATATTGTTACTTTGAATATTGATTGTTCTATAACCGAACTTGATCTATACTTTGTTTGGGTATTGTTTTACAGAAACTATTGAAGCTCATACTTTTCATCATAAATGATCCGCTTGCCCCGAAATGACCCGGCCGAATAGGGAAATCCCAATTCATTAGGCCTTTCGATACAATCAAATAGAAAGCCCCGAGGGCGCCGTGTAGTTTTTCACACAAAATGTGTAAAGCTCATTAATGTCTTAAGATGGTGTAATAGCTGAACATCTTTCAATTTTCAAATGTTTACAATGTAAAGAAATGAAGTAAAAAAAAAAACTGATCTCTCTCTCTATATACAGAGATTCTACAACTATTCACATGTGGTTCAAAATTATCTAAAGACATTGTAATACCAATAACACTGCTTCATATTTTGGTTTCCAATAGAGTGAGAGAAGAAACAGAATCATCACTGCTTTTCATATTGGATATACGTATGTGTTCTTCTTGAATAAGGCGTAGGCGTCACTGTAAATGGCGATTGCGTTGGAGAAAACCGCAAGGACGATCATGCAAATGGCTATAGTCTTGTCCCGCTTTGTTGCTTGGTTATGACGATCCCTGAAAGAATACAAGTAAATATCCATTCTCAGATAATGATCCATTATAGGTTCCAAAACCAAACTCTCTTAGCTTATGAATCAATGGATCTTACTTCAAGATAACAGCAGCAGGGAATATGAAACCGATGCAGACAGCAGCGGTTGCTCCAGTGAATTGGAAAGCATCCCAAATGCTTGGAATGAAGTTTGCTCCCAAGAAGATTACAGCGATGAGACCAGCAGTGATAGAGCCAAACCTCAGATCAGACCCAGAGGAAGTAAGTGGTGGAGCCGTAGGAAAAATGAGACCGTCAATGTTAATCCGCAGAGGATAGAAGACAACAGGGAACACAAGCATGAGATGAGCTGCATAGCTAAATCTCACTGCATCATTAAGAACCGAACCAAAAGGGATTCCAAGATCCGTGTCAAAGTTTGCAAGAACATCATCGAGAGTAGCATCACCGAATAAAAGGTATCCGAATAAGCTCGTCATAACGTAAACAGAAGAACACATCGCAAGTGCTGATCGAACAACTGGTTTTATCCGAGAAGGATCTTCAAGCTCGTTCTGTATACTGTGAACTGAAACAAAAACCAATGAAAACATGAGTTTTCTTCAAATGTGTTTATAATCAGCGACAATAGAGGCTTTTGTGTTTACCATTGTAATGACAAATGTATGCATTGACAAGCACAGGAACAACCGTGAAGAGTTTCCAAACCGACGACAAGTCAGTGACATTAGGTAAAAGTCTTGGCATCATCAAACCATCAGTAAACAGCTTTACGATAGTAATTCCCGCAGTAATGACAAGAAAAACAACCGCTAAAGCAACCGATACAGCAGATGTGAATCTCAAAGAATCTGCAATGAAGCATAAGCGATAAGAATACATAACTTGAACATCTTTACCACAGATACAATTGTTACAGAGAAGAATACTAACCAATCCGCTTGAAGCAAGTCAATGGAGCAAACACAATGAGAGTAGTAACGAGAAGAACAAAAGTTCTTCTATTCCACCAATTAATCCCAAACCATCCTTCAAGCATACCAGCATGATGGATTCCATATTCATTCTTACCAGCCAAAACATCACCAATAATGATCATATAAACGATCAAAACACCGATGTTGCTAACAAGAATCGAAACTTGTAACAAAATCCTTCCACATTTACCAAAAGAATCATCCATAACACCACCATAAGATCTTTGATTCCCTATGTTACTAAACCTAAGCAAGAACTCAATCGAAGCATCGGTCAAGAAAGCCATAAGAACAATCATCGCGATTCCGGGGATAAGACCGAGGATCTTCATCGTCGCAGGCAATGCCATTATACCAGCACCGATGATCGTTGTAGCGAGATTGAAAACCGCTCCACTAAACGAAGCTCCGTTGAATTCTCCTCCTCCGTCGCTCTCTGATGATGATTCTTGCAACAATGGAGCACTACCTTCTACAATATCGGTACGGATTTCGTCTAAATTCTCCATTTCTCCTGTAATCATTGAGAATCTTGAATTAGATACAGATGTTGAAGTTCGATTTTGCAACGGATTGATCAAATTGAAGATTAGAGAAGAAGAAGATTTTCGGAAACCTAGATTTGCGAAATTGGATGTTTCTTGAGATCTTCTTCAGATGATCTCAACGAGAGATTTGAGAGACGAAAGAGAAGATGATATATTAAAACTCAAGTTATTGGAAACAATGGAGAAGATGATGATTCAGAGACTTTGAGAATCGATTCTCTGAGAAAAAGAATCGTAGTTGGGAGAGAAGAAGAAAGATGCAGAGAATGGGAGGTGAAGAAAAGGAAGGAGAGGGAAAATCATAGCTTTTGTGTTTGTTGGCGCTGAAGCAAATTATTAAATGAACATTTAAACAAAAATCTATTATTTTTTTCAATGTGTTTATAAAAGATATTTTAATTTATTTACTTTACTCTGAGATAAATATGGCTTTGATCTTTTTTCTTCTTATTTATTTCTTCATCATTTTATATATTTTAGTAAAAAAAAAAAAATTTCTTCTGTTTTTTTTTTTAATTTGTTTGTTTTTTATTGATTTTCACCAACACATACACATGAATGTAGTTGTAGCATCTTTTTTTCCATTTTATTTGAAAGAAAAAGGCAATTATTAACATATGAGTTGTAGCAGTAAAACGCATAATCGATATGCTGCTAAAATTGTAAATATATAAATAATTATTATAGGTGCAAATGGTTATATATGTAAATGAACTGTTGGGAAAATTTTGAGTTGAAAAAAAGAATTGAGTATCATTTAACTCAATTTTTCATTATAATTTGTTTCTTTTTCCAATTTTTTAGTTGAATGGGTTGAAACAGTTTTTCAATTCATTCATTTTAAATGATAAAAGTTAGATAAATGCTCATTCACTTATTTTAATTTTTTAGATTTTCCGGTTACCAATATGACAGCATGGATAAAGATCATTAAAAATGCTGAAAAGCTAGTAGAAAATGTCGATAATGTGTCACGAAGCAAGCCACTCGCAGCGATTAGAGTATTGCATAAAGTTGATATGCCGTATGCGGGCTCAGTGAAGAAGGTGAAAAAGAGGGATAAATCAGTGTTTGGGAAGCTATTACGATGATGAATGTACTTTGGGGAAATCTTCATTGATTGTGTGCCAAAGCCACTAAGCTCAAAAAGAATACTATATGAAGTACTTAGCATTGACTAAAATTGTAACTTTAGCTAATACTTTAGATTTGTTTTCATAGAACGGAATGTTGATCTCTTAGTCTAAAACTCTATATATGTTGGAATGATTTAGAGTGTTTTGTTGTGCTATCTTTTGCGTAATGTTTTTGTATAATAGACCGTACGTAAATGTGTCAAGCTAAGTTTGACTTGAGAGTTGAACGATGAATAAAGAAGTACGTAACATTAAAAAATATGACTATGCATGGTAACTAATTTCTTAAGTAAAAAAAGTACGTAACATTAAAATATTAATTTCTTTGAAAAAGAACAACGATATCTCGTTACTTCGTCTAACTCCATTAGTTTTTGTGTTTATGTTAAGTGGATGAACTGAAATTGTCTTTATGCTTCTATGTTTTTATCTTTTTCTTTTGTCATGCGACTATTTGTATATGTTTATAATCATTCGATTATAAATCTAAATCGTTTTTCATTTTATGAAATATTTATATTTGTAGCAAAAAAAAAAAAGAAAAATTCTTTAGATGAATTATGTTTGTAGAAGAGTTCGTTAATTACCAAGACTTTTTTTTTGTATAGGAAACGTTACATCAAATAAATTGTTGGCAGATTATGTGATTGAAGAATTGAATCACTAGATCTTTTATTTTAGCACGCGGTTGTTGATATGGTGATTGGAGTACCACAACATAATATAGCTCGCAAACTATTTACAGAAAACAACATCACGACAAGTATTTTAGACAAATTTTATAAACTAAGTTATTCAGATTTCATTAAAGTAGTTCAATAATTTTATAGGTGAAAAATAGATCATGTTTTTTTTTTATAAATTTTTTTGTTATATAAATACACGTTCTAGCTGCAGGATTGTTAGATGCTTTAATATTGGTTTGACCCAAATGAAGAAACCATGGTCCACATTGTCCCCTACTAATCTATATGAACACCTCTTCTCACCACACACACCAAACATTCATCACAACTCTCTAAATCCTACTATCTTTCTTTTCTCTCATCACCTAAGAATTAACCCTACCTTGCGGTCCAAGTCTCCACCGATAATGCAACCAGCAACCAACATTTTCAGCCTCCATGGTTGCCCACCTTCGTACCTCTCCCATTTCCCTACATCCACGCCATTTTGCGGACAAAACCCTAATCCATTCTTCAGCTTCGAAAGTGGTGTGTATACTCCACAGTTCATGAGTTTGAGCAGCAACAACTCGACCTCAGAAGAAGGAGAAGAGAATCTTACAGAGATATTCAATGAGCGGAAGCAAAAGAGGAAGATATCGAACAGAGAATCGGCCAGGAGATCGCGTATGAGGAAGCAGAGACAGGCAGATGAGCTTTGGTCACAGGTGATGTGGCTTAGGAATGAGAATCATCAGTTGCTTCGTAAGCTTAACTGCGTTTTAGAGTCTCAAGAGAAGGTTATTGAAGAGAATGCTCAGCTCAAAGAGGAAACCTCTGAGCTTAAGCACCTGATTAGTGATATGCAGCTTCAGAATCAAAGTCCTTTCTCTGGTATCAGAGACGACATTGTATAGATGATGTTTAAGTGGCTCTAGTATGTATCTATAAATGTATATCCAGAGATGATCTGTCTCAGATTAAGACCATAAATTAGTAAATTAGTCAATTTTAAAAGCAGAGTTCTTTATACTTTTGTTCCCCGTGAAAAGAAGGAAGCAATTGTTTCACAATTGTTTGCATTTGTTGATAAAAGTAAAAATTCACATTTCTGAAATATATATGTTTTACATGCATAAATAATTTTGCAAAATGTAACACAAGCATCAAATTAAACACTAACGGTAGATTTTCTTCCTTTTTATATAATTATTACCAATTATGTTTTTCTAAATTGGGTGAAGTAGTGAGTTTGTTTGAGAAAATAATACATTAACCGTATAAACGGTTAATTTTTTTCAATTTCCATTTTCCTTTGATGTAGAAAATTAACAAAAGAAATGGTTAAGATTTTGATTTAATATGAAAAGCAAATACTTACGTTAATTTAACGCAAACACAAACAATTAAGACCTTACATGGTTGTACTTGTGTGTGAAACTCTCTTAAATCTGATTAAGCAAAGGCCTAAAGCATTTTGCAATTATCCAGGCCTACGAAGAGCTTTAATTATCTGTAGTATTTTAGTACCTTGTATTGGTAGTGCATGGACTGAAAATCATTACGAAAGATTTAGCCTACAAAGCAGTAAATGTCTTTTTAGTAAAGCTTGGATAGACATAGACCTAAAACTAAGACACGTGAATCCAATATTCAAATGTCAAGATCACTTCTCTACTTAACATCGATCCTCAGACAAGAAGACAAACAAACAATCTTACGTAATAGGCGACCCTTTTCAGTCAAGGAATCAAACGTCTTTATCTTCGAATTCGTGTGGGCGAGAAACTTACGGGCCAAGAAAACAAAGAGCTTAGCCACTAAAATCACATAACATAATGTAAGTGGAAGACTGAAAGAGACACTTGCGATTGAAAGAAATAGAGACAGCTTTTCAAAACCACCTCAAAAGCTAGAAAAACAATTCAATAACACACAACACTTTATGGTCAAGAAAGAACAAATATATGACACAAGTTTTTGTTTTTTGGCAAGTCAAAATAATAACAGTTTGGTCCCATTTCTTACAATCAGCGATCTATCTTTTTTTCTTTTCATTTTCACTTTGATTATTATATAAATATACATCACAATCTCAGCCTCTATATAGGTTTCTGCGTGTGTGTGCTAAAGTAGTCTTTGTAGTATATATAAGTACTAAAGTAACCTCTTTAGTTGAGACATGTCTTCGTGGAGTGCCATTTGGCCAACCACGTAGCTAGTCTGATGCGAATCGATAGTCTAATACGTGGACCCCTACTCTATCGGGTATCTGATAGCTAACACGTGGACCCTTGCTCTGTCGGAAAGCGTTACCTAGTTATAAAAAAAAAAAAAAAAGTATGTTTGTCTTCTTTCTTTTCCTTGCATCGTTTTCGTTTGATGATTGGCTCATTGATTGTGTCTTTGGAAATGTTAGGATCCTGTATCATCTTTTTTAAAAGACCTTAAATAATGTATAAGAGACCTTAACTAATATTTAAAGAACTCATCAAGATTAAGTGATTTTGATTTCGAAGCTAGTGAAATCTAATTTAATAGAAGAGCCCGTTGGGATTTTATATAGAAAGTTAGAAGGATCTTAAATAATATATAAAAGACACCGACAAATACACTAATTGCCAACTGATTTTGAATTGAAAATCTATGAAATTTAACACAAAAGATTACGCCTTTTTTTTTGCAATAAAGTGTGGTTTTTTTCTTTGATAATTTATGAGGTAAAGCCATGTAGTCTATGTAGTAACAGAAACCACCAGATTCACAAGAAAGGTAACTATAGTTCCCCAATAATGAGGATGGATAGGTCCTTATTCAAGAGATATGAAAGGAACTATATAGGTCCTTATTGATTACGTTTTATTTATCATTGTAATTGTGATGAGTTGTGTATTGACTATAAGATGGTTGTTGGCATATAATAGTATACTATTTTACATTATTAGTACTTTAAAATAAGTCTAAACCATCTTAACTTCACTAGTATTTAAACCAAAAAAAACAAAACATCACTAGTATATTCCAAACTCAATACACGTACTGTTGGAAATTTTGGAATTCACCCTGTCAATAACTCATTTGGTAAAAATTCTCAGCCTAAACCCTAGAAGTCGCCAGTTCGAATGACATTTAGGAACAAGCCAAATAAAATGCGCTTTGGTCTCTAACCTGAAAAGATATATATAATTAAGCTCAAAACTTCTTAATAAATAAATAAAAAATTTTAAAAAATGGAATTTGCTAGACGCGAACATCCACGCTATCAACTCATATTTCTTCCAAACGAATAGTTAGAATGTAAAATCCATCGTTGAATCTACATAAAGTGTAACATATAGGTTTTTCTCTTTCTTTGCCTCCGAAAATTGTCTATCTTTTTTTTTTCTTCTACAATTTTTTTTAGAATTATTTATATACTTTCACCTAATCTTAAGCCTAATAGTAATTCAATTAATTAAATTAGGCCCATTTAGTTTTCTAAAACCAAACCCAAAGGTTTCCTCACTCAAAAAAAAAAAATCAACACGTTTTTTTTATATTGAATATGGAAGTTCAAACGCGAAGGAACGTCTCCTAGAGGCGGAATCCACACCAAATTAAATTCATCTCCTTCGAACCCAACACTTTTACCTAGAAAATTTACCACTAGGACACCACCACTTATTAGTGATCAAGTTGCATCTATCTTTTGAAAAATTTCCACGAAATTTTCTTTAAACATTAGCATTCGCTATATACACGAGTAGATTCAAATGTCTCCTAAGTAAACTTTTCTGTAAAGTGTACGTAATATTGAACCAAAGAAGATATATGCACACGAACTTATAACTATTAAAATTCTTCACACCGCAAATAAATAAATTTTTATCCGGAAGTACCAAATAATGATTGGTGAAGCATATAAATTCTGGCATCCAGATAATAATAAGCACATTATTTTTGGCTTCAATTTGTGAAATATTTTATATTGAATTTGTGTGGAAGTGTTCCCATGTTGGTTGCATGTGTCTGCGGTGGATCCATTTTCTCTTTACACCCAAAACTATTCACATCAGAAAATTTTCAGAGAGTTTTGGGCAAACACACACACAAAGCCCCAATATGGCAATAATTGAAACACCTCTGACTACACATGCATGCCTTCGCTCTTATCTCTTATCATATGTTATGTTCATATAATTGATGATTACATTTTACACGTCATCATAATCATCAGTTACTTTCTTTGTACGTCTCTCATTACCTGTTTAATATTGTTTTAATTGAAAATGAGTTCATAAACTTAAATCTTTAACTTCTAAGTCGTAATTGGGATTAAAATTTGTTTTTTTTTGTATCCTATGATTAAACGATGGAATTTTAATATTTTGTATTTTTCCCTTTCACTTTATTAAAAAGCCAAACTCTCCATCGTTTGGATGGAAGAGTATTTTTTCTACTAAAAGACTCGTTGAAATGGGTGCAAGATGGTCTCTTGGTTCAGGTTTTAACATATCGGTATGGAGAGATCTTTGGATTCCCGATGTTAATCCACGCCCCGCAAATGGCAGAGGGAATTTGTTGCTTCCAAGCCTAATGGTTAACCATTTAATTAATCCGGTTACTAAAGAATGACACCTCCCAATTTTACAAGAATTCTTGGATCCGGTGGATATTCAAATTATTAGTGGACTAGCTATTAGTCAAGTTTATAAACCAGATAGGCTTATTTGGCATTATACAAAATCAGGAAAATATACAGTAAAATCAGGATATCGGCTTGCTCGAAGTTTGACAGAAACGACCGAATGGGGTCCAAATTATAGAAAATTACAAGCACAAGCTTGGAAAGTCAAAGCTCCACCAAAAATAAAACATTTCTTATGGCAAATTGCTTCGGGATCCTTGGCAGTTACCTCAAAATTAGCACAACGAGGGATTCATTGTGATATTATCTGTAAAAGGTGTGAGACGGCAGAGGAAACAATAAATCATGTTTTATTTGAATGTTCTCATTCTAAAAAAATTTGGGAATTATCCACAATACCTATGGTTTCAGGTTCTTTTCCTCTAAGCTCGGAATTTTCAAATCTAGATTATCTTTACTGGAGGTTACCACCTCCTCTAGATGGGGGAGAAAGAACCAATTGTTTTGCTGTGAGACCCCGTCCCGGACGTCTCGGCGTGTGAGACCCCGTCCCGGACGTCTCGGCGTCCGGCGACCCAAGGTTACGTTCGCGCCACTTCCCGGCCGAACCTCCATATTTTTCACGATTTAACATAGAATTGCCTTTACGAGGCTTAATTCTATAATCCTTATCTCTTAACACAGCGGAAGTCTTTATACCCTTGGTCTAATTCCAACCATCCCTTGTACCGGTTTGATCGTCTCTGTCCCTTAGACTTTAGATCAATCATTAACTCGGCCAAGACATGCCATTTGTTCGCTAACCATTCTAAGTCTAACGATTGCATATTCTTTGTATCCCTAATCCAACGGCCAATTCCCAAATGTCTATCTTAACTAATAAGTTAGATGCGTTTACATACCTTGGCCTACATGCGGATTTGATTCCTCTTCGATCCGTCTATTGATCCTTCTCTTAGCCCTCTCGTCGCCTTATTCCATTCGTACAACGATTCTTAACCAATCGTGTATTGATGGACCAATCTCTATCGTTACTTAGCCATACATCCAACCAACCCCACTGGTCTAAGTCCCACGAAAGAGATTGGGGATCGTACGTTTCTCTTGGTTCACGGTGGCCGAATCAAGCTCTTGGCTCATTGGTCCATCCGTCCTCCAAACGTACGCCCCTTCGGTTTCATGGTGGACGATCAAGCCCTCGACTTAACGAACCATCCATGTTTCCGATCCGATCGTTTATCACTACGACCGCCGACGGTTTATTAACCATTTACCCGTCCGGTCCATGGTGGTCGGTAAAGCCTTCAGCTTATCGATCCATCCATGTGATCCAAACAATATCATTATCACACCCAAGGGTCCGTGGATTCATCCATCGGATTATCGTAGGCTAGCCCATGAAA